GGGGTCATAATAAAAACACGGACAAACTGTCTTCTTCTAAACTACTGAGATATAACTAAGTTAGATAGTATTAGTGTTAGTACCACTGAGATTCTACCTCGACATCCCATAATAATCTCACAGTTAGGGTTGTTATTCCATGATGTGATTCACAGTAATAAAGATATTCCTGGAAGTTTCTCATCGTATTAATAATTACGTTCTGATGATTATGATGAGTTACTGTCTCATAATGACATCATGACGTAGTAATGACATCATATGCAAAAAGTCACACGTTTCATGAATTATGGAATTATAAATTAATAATATTAGTAAAACAGAGACTGTGATCTAATCCTGATGATAATATTGTATGTACTGTATATACATACACCCCCCCCAGTGCCTTGCAGTACCCCCCAGGTGAATACATCCCTCTATTTGAGAACCATTAGACAAAATGAGGCCTGAGGAAAATAAAACTATTTAAACCTGATTTTATTTGAAAACACACTTTTATTTATACTGTTAAAGTTAAAAAAACAAACAAACAAACAAACAAACAAACAAACATCAGACCGTGAGTTGTCAGAGTCCAGTTTGTCTGGGTACAGTATCTATCCCTGTACTTATCACTTCATATATACACAGAATTGTAAATATATATATATATATATATATATTTATATATATATTTACATAGTCATGTGTTGAGACCTGTTGAGGATCACAGCGTTTCTTAAACCCATCGATCTGTTGAACCAACCGTGTGTGAACAAACGTGTTGACCTCACACACAGGTCAAATGTTCACGTCCAGCACTGTGTGAAAACTGTGTGAAGCTACACTATGTTCAACCATAGTCACTTTGTCTACTGTGGCTAAATATGGGGTCCATGGGACAATGAAATTAATACAAGGACGCTCACTGGACACTCACTGGACACTCACTGGACAGACCTAACTCAACATGTGAGCACCACTGCCACACGATCTGACCTGCAGTGACCTGACCTCCAGCTGAAGAAGAAATGTGACATTGTGTTGTTTTGCTGTTAGCTTGTTAGCCAGGTTTCAGCTTCAGCTCCGGCCTGGTCTCATCTGCACTGGTTGGTTGATCAAACTGTGGTGGTTCCCTGAGGTTCTGTACGGTGGGTGGAGGTCACTCCACATCACCCAGCAGACATTCTTCGATCTCTGACACCAGACGGTGAGGGAAGAGTTTGTACTGCAGCCACGTTGGCTCTTAAAAAGAAAGAGATCACAGAAAATGATGACGTCACTGCTGCTGCTGCTGCTGCTGCTGCTGCTGCTGTCAAACCACATGCTAACACAGGTCAGAGGTCAGAGTGGTAAGTTTACCCAGGTAGCACGCTGGCGGCTGCAGCTCTCCATCAAAACACGTCTGAGTGGCAGTGACGCTGCACTGATGACCAGGATGTTTGCAGTAGAACGTCACGTTCTCCCCATGAGGAACCATGGCATCTGTGACGTCAAAGGGCCAACGCT